CTTGGGCTATAATTCCCACCATTTGTATTTTCAAAACATCTGGAAGGTGGCCTGGGGTTTTCTTGTTTTAATTTTTTTTTATTTCCCTACTCAACAAAATACATTTAGCAAAAAAAAATCCTTTATTAATCACTACTTATCTGGAAGTTAGCTTTCCTTGCCAATGCCAACTTGGGGATATGGAGGAAGGGGGGAGCCTTGTGGATGATCTTTAAAGAATATTTTAGGTAGCCCAAAGCAAACAGCAGTTTTGGTCATGGTTTTGAAGTGCCTAGATGGAATTGTGCAGACTGTAACCCTATAGTTCCTTGGCTTTTACTTAGGTAGGTTTAAATGGCCTTAGATTAGTTTAAAACTATCAGTTTTGGTGTCTCAATTGGCAAAGATTAGTCTACAGCCTGCTTGTGTTTTATGGGAAATTTTTCATGGATTTCCATCATTATAGCTCTCACTTGGCCTTGCAGGTTGGAAGGGATAAGATCCCCTATTGATTTGATTTATTCAGTCTCCTTTGAAAAATATGGGCCTTTACTACTTTCCGTGCCTCCTATAGCTAGTATCAGAAATAACATAAACATGCTATATTTCATGCGTAAATATATACCTGAATTCTTTTCAGAATTCTCCAAACATTACAAGCATTTCTGAATTGACATTCCACAATTTCATTAGAGAAGAAAAAGAAAGAAAAGAAAAAAAAAACAGAAAAAATGGACAACTAGGGAAAGAAAGACAAAAGATGGTAAGACAACTATTTTAGTCTCCAGGCTATCTTCAGTAGTCAAGAAATATATTTATCAAACTCTGGACTACCAAAGCTTTTTTAGGCAGAAGGGAGAGAATGAATTGTTAGAACATTTGACAAATATTGGAGGTAATCTTTCTTAAAAAGAATGAGGAAAACAGAGAAAGGAGGATAAAAACCTTCCCTTTACATTTTAGTTTGGTAAATCTAAGGGGGTTATGAAGGACATCTAGTCATAAAATACTGCCTGTTGTTCTTGCAGGGAAGAAAAAAGTGAGAGAATCAACCCAGAAGCAAGGCTAAGCCACAGCACTGCTACTTCTACAACCATCATTGTGATTTTTTTTGCCATCTCTGATGATGACAAAGTAATATCCAGTGTACTTTGGGAGAGAGAAATTGTCTCTATTCATAATTAAATCCAAGTAGACCAAAGTAAAATAAGAGCACATTAAATTAATTTCTATCAATCAAACTAGCTTAACTTTTCCCCAATTCTCATTCATTGTAGGGGAGCACTTCTCTTGGGATTCTGCCCTCAGCAGCAAAGTCTACCAAAAAAGAAACTTCAGACAGCCTAATTCAGCTAGAAGAAACATTAACAAGGTCTACAAGAAGCAGAAGAAAATCTGGTGGTGAGAAAGGTGTTGTGAAATGGCTGTTTTCAGATTGGCCTCCAGAGTTGGATTTAACCGAGCCCTGCTTCTGTGTGAGCCATGCTACATGGCACAATGTCCAGTCCTGAAAAGGTCAAGGGGTTTGGAGAGGTCATTCTGTAGTTGCAATACCAGGCTAATCATTCAGAAAATGTGTCCCTTGGATGAACTCAGCACTCACTCTGCAGCTCACCAGGGTCAAATTTTAACTGCGTTTGTTTAATATAAGTCTTACCCTTGAAATGTAGATGGATAGATGAAAGATAGATCGATGAAAGATAGATAGATAGATAGATAGATAGATAGATAGATAGATAGATAGATAGATAGACAGACAGATAGAAGATAGGCAAAAATCTGTTGCTGGTGTCTCTGCTAACAAATGTTAACAACTTCATATAAAACATACCAGACATATGCATTTTAGAAGCAATTTACCAGCGCCTCTTTTTCACCAAACTGCATTTATGAAATATATTATCTTAGACCATGGAAAAAAATATTTCTAGGAAGCACAAAATCTATAGTGAAACAGATAGGGAGTTTCTTCATTCCGATGCCTTCTGTCTCTTATCAGTTCTACCAAAATCAAGAAAACTGCATTAAAATTAAAATAAACCTTGCACAGAAAATTAAGTTCGAGAACTCTCACATAATCAGGAAACAAATTAAAAATACTGTGTTCGTTCCTTTGTTATTTTGGTGAAAATAAAAACTCTGCCTTCATCCAGAACTGCAAATTCTATTAAAACACTTACAGGGAAGTAAGACCATAGTGGTCATTGCTTTAGAATAAACAAGGCTACATAGAATCCAGCTTCTTTTGCTTCACAGGATACAATTTTAAGAGAAGACATTTGACACTGTCCCTGTCCCCTTTCATTCTTAAAACCCAAGCAATATGCAGTTTCAAAAGAGCAACCCAAGCTTTAAAATAATATCTCTCTCTATATATATATATAGGTATATTATTTTACATGTATTACCTTTTTAGCTTCACAGGATTTTTTTCCAGATGTTTAAAGCTGATGGTATTCATATTTGAAGTCAAGTCTTCCATTAAAAAAAAAGTGTTCAAATTTTAATGTATATTTCAGAGAATATTATCTCCTGGAAGATATCTTAAAAGATTCAAGGCTCCCGGGTGCTCTCTTTTTTTTCCAACAGAAGGTCTGTAGAGGTTTGCTGTTGAATAACAATAGGAAAAGGATAAGTATTTGAAGAAAAGAAATGATTAATGATTTTTTCCGCATAATTCTCACATTTTTCTCAGCTCCTGTCTGCTTTCAATGCCTGTGAACTTTTGGAGGCTATAGAAATCCCCACCCTAAAATCTATTCACTCTCCTGCTTTGATTTGGTTCTATAGAAGCTACATTCTTACCAATATATGCTTTAAAGTTTTGTTTGGGATACATAGAAGGGAGAAGGACTTGGGGTAGCACTAAACAGTCTGAAGTGAACCCTCCAGTATCACAAAAATCAAGAGAAATTAAAACAATGTGGTCTAGCTACCACCAGTACTGGGGGGGGGGAAAGGATTGGGGTTGGAATTGGGGTTGGTAATCAAGCTTACAAAACATTTGTTCCACTTCAATATGGCAATAATATGAAATCAGTATGGAATGCAATTATCAGCTGCTTATTTTCTTTCTTATTTTCTTTTCAGCCTTCCTCAAGTCTGTCACTACCAGATGTGTTCTGAATATTCCCAAAATAATAAAAAAATCTACCAAATATTTGAAATGACATTGCCCTCAAGTATTAATCCGTAAGAAATATGGGATGGGGGAATTAATTAAATGTGTTGTTATAAACAGATCTTTTTTCTGTAGGTGCAGGATGCATGCACTTCCCTCTGTGCAAGCATATATAACTGTCCCAAGACTTCCTGGAGGCACCATATTTACTTATAAGTTAGTCCCATTAATTTCCATAAACAAAGGATCTGTCACAGATTTATTTATTTATTTATTTATTATATCACATTTAAAAACTCTCCATCTCACTCACAAACTGACTCTGGGTGATGATTCATAGCATTATGACTGTTTTTTGAGTTGTTCCAAAGTAGTTCTACTAAAAAGCAGTGGATTAAGTGGATAGTGCACAATGTTTAGCAACCCCAAATTTCTTAGTAAAGGATTAATAGAGGGTATGGCTTGGCACCTTTTTAATTTGATTTAGAGTAGTCTCAGCCAAATCAATGAGACCTAAGTTTGCAATTATTAACTGAGCTATCATAGAATTAAATGATTTTATATATAACTAAATTCTAATCAGGACAGGAATTTTTGCTTCAACTTTGATATGATATATATTTATTTATTTGTCTATCTATCTGTCATATGAAAGGTGAGCAACGCAATTATATTAGATCCAGTAAAATTAATGGGATCTAGCTTGTTAGGAGTTGTTTAAGTCTCATTGATTTCAGTTGGTCTGCTCTAAGCATGATCAAGTTTGGATCCAACCTATTATAATTAAATATAGACATGTGGATTGTGAATAAATCCTACTGAAATGCATGCTTTGATAATACAATAAAGCAGTAAAATAACACTCAGTTTGAATAATGGATAAAAAAAATATAGCCTAAAGGAAGGTTGTAGAATTGTTAACTCTCCCATGGAAATTACTTTCTCTGAGGCATTTCTCAGGGTAGAAAGCAATTGGAATTTCTCTTGCACAAACTCCATTAAAATGAATGTGACCTTCATTTTTACAGGTCTTCTGGTAGAGAACTTCTGGATGAATTCTACCTATATGATCAAATAAATTGGGACCTACATTAATGATATAACACTTCTGTCTCTCCCTCCCTTCCTCCCTCTCTCTCTGAGTTTCTGTGTGTGTTTGTGTGTGTGTGTGTTTTTAAGGAGAATTTAAGTTTTCTTTACACTAACTTGTGTCACCACTATACACACCCAACCATATAAACACACACACTCACACAGAGTTTGTAACTTGGAAGTGGAATGCTATTTCATCCAAAACAGTATTTTCGATACTTTATATGGGAAAGAAAATGAAAATTAATACAAGAGCTATGGAGCACAAAAGAAGTCATTTGTCTTCTTGATTATCTATTTGCTTGTCAGAGTTTGAGCTATTGCAGTGGCTGGCTCCTTTGTAATATAAAAATACACAGAAAAACCTGCAAACACCAAGAAACATCTGCGCAAAAATTATGATCATAAAATGCAGTAAATACCTTAAAGAAGGTAGCTTTTCTTACAGAAAAAAGAGAAGGAAAGGAATAAATCTCATGGAAAATGTAAGTCTACCCTCTTAATATCAGGTAGAAATCTAATACTGTGGTATTTTTTTGAACCAGTTTAAAAAGCAAAATGTAACCACCCTGATGCATACTTACAAAATAAATCATTCTATACAGCCTGAGTTATAGTAAAGGAAGGAATAGCCTATGGTCAAGCATTTTTCATTTGTCAGAGAAGTTTAGGTTTAAAAATTGACAGTTAAAATCTGCTAGAATCCAAAAGTGGTGGAATTTATTTACATGGAGAGGGAACAATCACAACAAAGGAACCCTGTCAATATTTTAGCTGTTGTTAACAGATTCTGAAAAACGCAGAGTCATGTTCACAATAAAATGTTTTATTTTGTGGTATACTATATACACATTTGCATGGATATCACACAAAACAGCGAGAAGTAATTATACAAAAGCAAAAGAGGGAGGCATCTTCTCTCCCTCCACAGAGTTCTCTGGCATCACCCCATTTTGGAATGTCTTAGAGGGAAGGGAGGGGAAGAAAGGATTTGTGCCTGTGAAAAAAGGATGCAGGGAAGGTAAGGTTCAGAGGCCGTATATATCCCCCCTAATTCCCCGGGGGAATTCCCTTAAGTCCCATCTTTATGCCTACATTATTTGGTCCAAAATCGAGTATAAAGAAACCAGAGGGGTACTCTTATAAATAAGGCCCCCCTCCCGTTTTAATGGCTACTAGAACGCAGATGGCCTTATAATCAACTTCATGGAGTGAAATGTACAGCACTCTTGGCTTTCCATGTTTTCCATGTTATGTAATTAACCTGAAGAAGCTGCCATTTTTAATGGGTTTATTATTTCAAGACCCCCCCATTTTTTGTTGCTCTTCTCATTTTGTTTTATTTGTTCCTTTTGGGCCCCTTTCTTACTATGTTCACCAGCCAATTATATCTTTAGAGGGTTCACTCTCCTGCCCCCTCCCCAATTCTAATCATCCCCTCATCCATAAATGCATTAAAACAGCTTTCAATAGTCTTAATCAGCCCTCTCTCTTTAGGATGGCTTGTGTGGTAGGTGAGGATGGATGATAGGGGGGCATGGGGAGCAATAAGGATGGGATGCGAAAGAGGAGACAGAAAGAAAGGAAGATGGAGAGGGAGAGAGAGAAAGAATCCAGTCCTCCTTAGGTGAAACCAAGCCTCATTTATTAAAGATGACGCTGGCTGTCGAGCTAATGGTTGGCATAAGGTCCTTCGTTTGTACGGGAGAGTAAACATGACAAATGGGCCCAAGTTTGGCTTGATTAAGGATGAAGAAGGGATCCATCTTAGCCAAATCTGGAAACCCCTACCTCCTATACAGTAGAACAGAGAAACTACCCCCAAACACAACCTGGCCAGTGAGAAACCACCCACCTTCTCCTTTGTTTCCTCTTCCTCTTATAAATAGAGATCCCACCCACCTACCTCCATATCCCTAATGGCCCCCATCTTTCTTCTCAGGGAACAGTAAAGCCACAAAGCGACCTTCCGTTCCATAATCACTTCTTAACACAAGCATTCATATACATCCTGCTCTCAACACACACACACACACACACACACACACATGTGCGCACGCACCCACACACACCCTCAGGTCGCATTCAAGGATGGTTATAGGTTGGGGGTGGGTTTCAGGGTCGGCCCATTGGTTCGGTCCTGGGGGCCTCCTGCCCCGCCTGGCACCGGCAGGTTGGCAGCAGCATTTGATCGGATCTTAGTATTGGGTAACTTGTGGTCTTTTTTCCATTTCATCCTCCGATTTTGAAACCATATCTTGATCTGACGCTCAGACAGGCAAAGGGAGTGAGCGATTTCCACCCTTCGCCTCCGGGTGAGGTAGCGATTGTAGTGAAATTCTTTCTCCAGCTCCAGCACTTGCTGCCTCGTGTAGGCTGTCCTGGAGCGCTTGGGCTCCCCTCCGGTATAGTTGGGGTTGACTGGAAGAAGAGGCACAAAAGAAGTGGGAAGGAGGGAGGACAAAAGAACAAGGGCGGAATGGGAGAGTATGAAGGTTACTCTTCTGCCTCTTTAAAACAAAACAAGAACGGCCTTCACTGCCCTCAGTCTCCTGCAAGTGGTAGTCAAGCAGACCACAAAAACAAATCGCAAACCACAGGTCCCCGCCCCAAATCTGCTCAAGATTTTGAATCCTTCTTTCCTTCCTTTCTCTCAGAAACCTCTTATGGGGGGGCACTCCAACATACCTAGTATGGTATTCCAGTCTCAGATCTCTTTTAGCCCACCAGACACACCCCATTGCATTTAGTACAGCTTACTTTTGAATAAACCCATCCAGGATAGGATTACAGAAATACACCCATGGGTGTATCTGGGTGCAGTGAATGGAGCACAATGTTTTTTAAATGATACAGGCTTAATTGGAAGGTTTGAAGTAGAATATCTATTCGACCTTTTTTTTTTTTTTTGTCTACCCAGAGATCAATGCCTTTAACAAGGATTGGAACCTTCCCATTTCCTCCGGCCTTGCATAGCTTTAAAATTTATACATCATGCATTAAAAAACTTCACTTCATTCCCAGCCTAAAGGATGATAGCTGAGATCTTCAAAGCAATTAAACAACAAAGTTTTAAAGTTAATCTACAGTAAACCCATTAACTTACTCTTTGTTAGAGTGTTTGGTATCATTGCTAAGAGAATGACAGCAGACACTGCATTAAATTATGGATAGCAGGTCACTTTTAAATTTATCGGCAATCGTAAGCAGAAATCAGAGAAAAAGACCCTATTTACACGTGCAAGTGCCGACTATTTAATAACGAATCCATCAAGGATAGGAATGAAATGTAGAGTGCAGTTAAACCTTGCCTTATTGGACTGATAAACAGCATAAGTACCTTGAAATCACTTGCAGTGAACAGGAATTAATAAACTCAGGGGTGGCAATTTAAGTGCCCCCAAGCAAAGTAATATTTATCCACGTGTACGGAAGAGTTAAGTGTGCACCCCGAAGTTCTATAAAGTTTGTTAGCATGTAACACACTCTTTCATACTAAATCGTCTTTTCTCTGATTCCACTATATAGCCACCTTCAGTGCTATGAAAAGAGATTGTGAAAAACTGTCAAGAAAGACTTTTCAAGAGAGGAATTTGAAAAAAAAATGTACAAATTGAACTTTTAAAAATCCCATATCTCCTTAAATTTTTTCCAGTGGAAAGGAAAGGAAAGGAAAGGAAAGGAAAGGAAAGGAAAGGAAGAAAGAGAATCTGGAGAAGGATGTTAACAGGACTTCAAAGGCAGTTGGCCAAGAAGAGCAATAAAAATTTATGGAGGATGTAATTATAGAGCTCTGCAAACAGGGAGACCATAAATCTCCAAGGGGAATGGTTCTTTTACAACGGGGGCAATAAGCCTTTTTCCCTCTCTTCCCAACGAGACTTTGAGGTGCAGGTTAGTATAAAGCGAACAGCTCTTTAAGGTTCACTTACCCGTGCTAACATGAACCTTCTTCATCCAAGGATAAACTACCGGCTCTTTGCCAGGGCTTTGGTTGAGAGAGTTTTGGCTACAGGAAGGCGGTGGGCTTGGCGTGATGGATTCGCAAGTATGATTTGGTTCGGAGAGATGGTTCTGAAGTCCAGCCGGAGCATGTTGGCTCCTGGGGGAGAGGACCAGTGGCTGGTGCCCAGAGCCCTGACATGGAGGATAGGATGGTTGGTTACAGGCGGACCGCGCTGGGTACAACGCCTCGTGTTGGAAAGAGTTCTCCTGTCGCCTCTGGCCGCTGAAATATTCCGGAGTATGACTGGGAAGGTAATCGTGCTGGGAATATTCTTCGCATGGTGGGAATTTGGGGTCCACATAGTTGGAGTTGATCAAGAAAGAACTCATGGCCATTAATTTTGGAATTGCAAGAGCGCGCGCGCGCCAGCACGCACACTCTCGCTCACTCACACACACACGCACACCCCAAAAATATACTAAAATTTATTCCTATTTCTTTACCCCCCTCCCTTTCCCCCTTCGCCCTTCCTTCCCCTCCCCTTCTCGTTTTCCTGTTTCGCAGAGCCCTCCTACTTTTGCCGTCAACTGAACAAAGTTAGCTATCCATGTGACCCCATGAACCAATAGAGAAGTAGCCTGGGATTCCCGGATAAGGAAATAATCAAGAAGGAGGAAAGGGGTGGGGGCGCGCTTTTAGCCTTACCGTTGCCACCTCGCATTCAACTTGAAAGCAGGTTGCTTTGAAGCCAGTTGGATTTATTTTATCTGTAAAATATATTCGGGATATAAATAGGATTCTGCTTTGCGGTACGAATAATCGGCATTCTGCATTCCTTTTTGATATTTTAAAAACTATTAATATTTTAATTTCACACACACAAAATCGGGCATTCCATAATCTCTCCAAAATCAGGAAAACACAATCCTAAACTCCATCCCTTGTCCGCGGATGTTTCGTCAAAACTCAATACACGCAACGTCTCTTCGTAGCGAATATTTCAATTCAAAAGGCAAATAAAGAACTTTGTTGAGAACAAATATGAAACTGGAAGGAAAAGAACGGGATCTATGGGTATTCTTGTCTCGGCTTAAATTTTGTGAGCGAGTCAAACCAGTGGCAAAGATAGATAGAGGTTATTTTGGATCGATAGAAACATCATTAACCAATTCGAATTACCCATCCTTTAAATGACGGCTAGCTTCTGATTTAGACTGGTTCTCTTTCCATGTTTAGAAGATAAAAATCGTATAAACATTAAGAAGTAGAAGAGAGAATTAGGACTAATGTCATCAAATTGTGTTGGGCATTAACTGAAGAAATTCGCTTTTAAAAAAGTATAAAAAGAGGTTACAGGGTTTCTATAGGGACACACACACACACACACACACACACACACACACACACACACACACACATCCTGATTGTTCCTTTTCATTATACAGCACTGTCTCATCTTCCTTTGTAAACTTCACTGGGCAGGGATATGTTCCCTTTACTGTGATTTCCCTCCCAATAAGATTTCAATGCAATAGAAAAATTAAAATGATTAGATGATAGTAAAAAGTGAAAAAAAACTGTGATAGATGCTTATATGTGTGCGTGTGCGTATATACACACATGTATGTATGTAAAACCTCACAGATGGAGGTGCACCAATGGTGCATAAAAAAAGGAAAAATCTTAAGAAACAAATGATTTTAACCATTTATTCTCCTTTCTTTTTCTCATTCTTCTTTCTTTAAGGCTGGGCTCCGCTCCGTAGGGTTTGTGTCAACTACATATTCCCCTAGATGCGAATTTGTGAGACAGCTTCTTTTACACAAATTCGGATCTACAGGGTACATACAGAAGACAGAGAGACCTTCTCCTTTGCGAAAAAGGGAGAAAAATGTTAGTTTTCAGCCAAAAGTGGTTGGCATTTGGAAAAACAATGGTCCAGTTTCAAAAGAAACTATGGAATTGTGGGCATTTGCAAAATAGTGCAAATTAGCCAGAATCTTTAGTAGAATCCATTACAGTTTCATCCAAAAAGGCATGCAGTTATTGAAACATAATCTGAAATTTAGGGGTTAAAAGTGGATTAAAGAGGAACATTAAGTAGAAAGAAATTCATTCTGAATCTAGTTCAACAAGATTTATCCTTTCATTAGAATGAAAATCACTCCTTTGCATGAATTCATGGTAGTAAAGAATAATGTCCAAACATTGCAAAGATTTTTAGGCATCTTTGCATAAAATGAGAAGAAGAGAAGAAAAGGCAGAGAAATCTGGAAACAAATTTAGAGGTAGACAGGGAACTAGGGTGTGGTTCTTTTTTCTTCGCATTTCCTTTAAATCCCAGAAAAATGAAGAAAAGATCAAAGAAATGTAATTGCAGTCCTCCCACCAAAATGGGGATATAAAACAATAAATCCTGGGTAAACCATTCATCTTCTGTAGGTAGTAGGAATGAGGAAAACAAAGTTGTAGGTAGATGTTTAAAAAATGTAAAATAACTCCAGTTTTGTTTTAGGATATGTTACTAATTGTTCCTAAGCCTTACTGAATTCAGTGTTCTCTACCTCTAAGTAGGTCATAGAATTCACTGTTCCTGCAGAAAGAAAAAAGCTTTTCTGTTACCTAGACATATTTATCAGAAGAACATTTTATTCATTTTCTTAAGTTAGGATTGAACTACTGGAGCCTGAGGTGTACTCCTCTGAATAAAATTATATATCAGTATATGTAGATGAATTATGACATACATATACTGATATGTAATATATGTACTCTTTGTGCTGGCCTTCTCAGGATAAGATTCTTTTATCAGCAGAACATATAAGCACACAATTCAATCTTACACATGTGTTTAGGAATAATTTTCACTGACTAATACAAATTTGCTCTCACCTAAGCGGTATAGGATGTGTTGTATTTTGAGAAGCAAAACTATTCACTTCAGGAATAAATATTAATTTCAGATAAAACAAACATTTGGAAGGAAATGTGACTAAACCTATCATCATTATTTTCTGGTTGGTTTTCCCTCCTTCCCAACATCCTACCAAACAACATCCCTCTACCCTCCTAGTCAAAAAACACAAGTTTCTTGTTCCTTTTTCCCCAATAATCCAATTTCTAATAATAATATTGAATATTTTAATTATGCAATATAAATAAGAGTATTTTAAATAATGTAAATCTGCTTTCAGCAGAATTTTCTTTTAACTATGTCCAAATTGAATACCTTCATCCAAAAATGGAGTGTTGACATATCATTTTGTCTTTGTACACCATTCCAAAGCATACCAATCTCATTGGCAGAAAAACATCAAAGGGCATTCAGAATTAAGCTACAAATCTTTAGCTTTAAAAAAATAAATCAAAGCTAACTTGATGAGAAATGGAGATCACCTAATGAGGCTTACTTCGAAGTAAGCTTTTTCCAATTCTGGTGATCAAAGTTGAAAAGAAATTCCTGCTTTCTTCAAGAAAGTTTACCAAATATGGATGCACACTAGTTACAGCTTTCAGACACTAACTCTTGTTTTTCTTCTGATCTGGATCTTTTCCATTTTTCCCTTTCCTGTTTTGGGGAGGGGGGATGTTATATGTACATTCTAGCTGCCTTTCATTTAAGATACAAGCTTTCTGGGAAACGAAAAATGAGGATAATTCTCTCTTTTAGAAGAAACAAAACAGAAATATCGCTATCAGTTTTAAAAAATTCCTTGTACAAATAGACAAATGGGGGGAGGAGTTATCCCAGTATCACCAGCACCCCTAGCGTTTAGCAGAAATGTTCACACTTTGCTCCTCCAAAACACACATACATACCCCCAAATCAAAAGAAACAGCAACGTCCCCGCTTCTCCCCCCCCCATTCGCATCTCCTCTCCGCCCCCTAACCTTTTGCGCTTAATTGGGTGGTGGAGAGGAAACATTTTCGATTGCTCTAATAAAAATGTCTTAACTTTTTGGAAGTTTGGAAAGAGATTTAGTCAAGCGATTTCTGCATAAGAGAAAAGTTAATGAGGCTAAAAAAACCCACCCCAATCTCATCGCAAACGTGGCCAAGGATCCTGTTTGCAAAATGTAATAATAGATCGGAGAGATGGTTGGCAAGGGTTACCCACAAAGGGGCTCACTTTTCGGGATGCTGTGAGAAAAGGGGAATCCAAGGGGAGTCTCTCTCATCAACATATATATAGACAGACAAAACACCTGCCCGGACATTACATCTTAAGACCTTGATACATAACTGTCACTCTAACATACAACATTTGCATCTTTTCCATTTTCGGGAGGGGAGGGATGTTGTGCAAGAATCGGCACAATGTTTATAGCTATCAATGTCCTCTTTCGGCTAGAACTATGTTGATTACCGAGGAGGGCCGATTCTTAGCCCCCTTTGCCAGCATGAACCCAAGGAGCTTCAGGAACTGATCCCTAAGTGCCTTCACCCCAAATTCCGGCTTCATCGTTCTAAAGCTCCTTAAATATTGTTGAAGTCACTCCACGTGTTCCCTTTTTCCACAGTTAAAAAAATCGGTGCGCTCGCTGCCAGCTAGGATACAAAATGCAACCGTCCATCCCGACCACTTCAGCCGCAATACCCCCCCTCTCCACCCCACCCCCGTGCCATGCAACCCTAATACCAACCAGAAAGTAGATCCTTCGCTTATATCTTCCCTTCCTCCATGTCAGATACTTTCTCCGAAAGTCTGTCTTGTCTTTCTTTCTTTCTTTCTTTCTTTCTTTCTTTCTTTCTTTCTTTCTTTCTTTCTTTCTTTCTTTCTCTCTCTCTCGGCTTTTAAAGCTTACGATATATTTGGCTACTGGCTTTCAAGCAGCCTTAGGCCTAACTGAGCCTTTTCGATTCGGATACCGGCAAGTTTTCGTATTAATCTCCATAGTTTGTCAGTCTTTGTTAAACAGCTAGGCGTGTCCCGAGCGCCTCCAACATTTTAATATTTGTTAGACGCGCTGACCTGAGTTTCACCCCACTCCCGGGCTCTCCCCCTTGCATTTCTATAATACGCTTGCATAGTTCTCTCGGTCATATTGAATTTTACTCAGACCATTACTTTGTACGGGAGAGAAGTGGGGAGAATGCCAGGGCCAGGCTTATGAGCGCAATCCTGTCCTTTATAGGAGCCGCAATTATTGTTTAGTCCTTTTAATACACATTCCTTTTACTATATATTTTAATTATAGCACAATTAATTCCTGTGGATACAGCCCATATACACAGCGATATCCGTATACCAGCACTTATACTAATAGGTTTATTAAGCATGCAATATAGTACAATATATGTAGAGAGAAAAATACAATGAAAGAGAGAGAGAGAGCCCAAGAATTGTTCAACTTCTTTCTTTTGTTTTTGGAAAGAGAAAGTTTTGTTTTTTCCTTTATTTGGTCTTAGAGGTTATGTTGAAATTATGTTTGTCACAGGAAGGGAATTGAGGGAAACACTTGGCACAGAGAAGGAGAGTGAT